GCCGGGCGTCGGGGCCGGGCGCGTCCCCCCCCCTCGCCGCCCACTGCTAGGGGACCCCCAAAGGCAGGCCGGGGTCTTTTCCCATGGCGCCAACTCCGCGGGACACCTGGATGCGGAGCCCGGCGGACCCGGCTGGGAGGGAAGAAGGGTCTGCGGGACGGGCGGGAACCAAGAGGGACACCAGAGCCCGCCACTCATCCGCGGTGACCGCCAAGCCCTCGGTTGCTTCTTGCAGTATCTGGAGCTGCGCTTCAGCCGCCCGGTGAGGCTCTGCGGGACGGTGCAGTACCTGGTGGCCACGGTGAGTGACCAGCGCCCCGGCCCGGGCAGAACCCAGGTCCCCCGGACCCGCGCCGCCCCGCCCACAAACCTGATTTGCATGGCCACGCCCACAGGCGCCCTGGCCACGCCCCGGCGCCCTGGCCACGTCCTCACCACCGGTCCCATTCTGGCCCCGCCCATGACACGCCCTCATCGTCATTGCCCCGCCCTCTTAGCCCCGCCCCGACACGCCCCTTATGGCTCCGCTCCCGCAGACGCTCTACACAGGCATCGTGATGTACGCACCGGCGCTCATCTTGAACCAAGGTCGGGCCGTGAGCGACTGGGGCAGGGGTCGGGAGGAGGCCCGGACTCAGGCAGGGCCGTGAGAGGAGGGTCCCAGACGGGAGCCGAGCTTGCGGCCTAACCGGGGCGTATGTCTCTGCACAGTGACTGGGCTGGACATCTGGGCGTCCCTCCTGTCCACAGGGTTCATCTGCACCTTCTACACGACAGTCGTGAGTGGCCTGCCACCCCCACGAAGGGTTCTGTGCACTGGGCCAGTTCCCACTCGGAGGCTCCCTGTCCTCGCGGAGTCTAGGCCAAACATTCCAGGAGCTTTCAGGGGCTGGGGTGCACTGATTGGCTGTTCCAGAGGCAGGGCGTGATCATCTTGCCCAATAGCTAAAAGGGGGCGGGGCCAGGCTCTGGGAATGTCCTGTGGGAGGGGCGTGGCTAATCCACAGGTTTCTTTCCTGCTGGGGTAGGTCCCCTTAGGGGGTGTGACCAGCCTCTGGAAGGCAGGAGGGGGCGTGGTCAACCTCCAAGACGGACCTGGGGAGGGGGGCGGGGCCAGCTTCCCCATGGCTCGAGGGGCGGGGCTTCTCCACGGTACCACCCCTGCCCGTGGCCGCCGTGCACCCCCTGCGCATGCTCCGCCCGCGTCCCCGGGTGGGGAGGGGGGGCTTTAGTCCTGGCGGCCACCTGGCTACCGCCTGTTCCTCTGAAGTGGAAACAGGCAGGTGACCGGGGTGCCAGGGCCGGGCCGACCGCGCTCTGTCCCGACCCACAGGGCGGCATGAAGGCTGTGGTGTGGACGGACGTGTTCCAGGTGGTCGTGATGCTGAGCGGGTTCTGGGTGGTGCTGGCCCGCGGCGCCGTGCTGCTGGGCGGGCCGCGGCGCGTGCTGCAGCTGGCGCGGACCCACGCCCGGATCAACCTGCTGGAGTGCGTGGGGGGATCAGCCTGCTGGAGTGCGTGGGGGGGATCAGCCTGCTGGAGTGCGTGGGGGGATCAGCCTGCTGGAGTGCGTGGGGGGATCAGCCTGCTGGAGTGCGTGGGGGGCCGTCCCCACCCCCAGCCCGGGGTCACTGACGGCTCTAAACCACGCGTTGCATGTCCCGCCGGGCGGCGAGGCTCACGCCGGTCATCCCAGCCACTCAGGAGGCTGAGAGCTGAGGATCGCGGTTCAAAGCCAGCCGGGGCAGGAAAGTCCAGGAGACTGATCTCCAAGGAACCACCAGAATGTAAAGCAAGAAGTGAGGCTTGTGGCTCGGGCGCTAGTCCTGCGTGAAACAGCTCACGGACAGCGTCCAAGTCCCAAATTCCAGTGACAGGACCAGAACAGGAAAGAGAAAGAAAAGCAGGAGGAGTTCAAGCTGTGAAACTCCTACACACACCTGGGAACCCACTCCAAATATCCCCTAGTGCCTCCGGGGCCGGAATGGCCGCCTGGAGCTGGGTGGGAAGGGGAAGTCCCTGTGAACGCCTCATGTCTCACTGCCCTCCCCCGGCCCCCAGCTTCGACCCCGATCCTCGCAGCCGCTATTCGTTCTGGACGTTGGTGGTGGGGGGCACGCTGGTGTGGCTGTCCATGTATGGGGTGAACCAGGCCCAGGTGCAGCGGTACGCGGCCTGCCGCTCAGAGAGGACGGCCAGGCTGTGAGTAGTGGGGGGGTCACCCGGGGGAGCCCGGGCAGGGCGCGGGCTCCGCGGGGACCCCGACCTGAGGCCGCCCCCGCCCCAGGGCCCTCTTCATCAACCAGCTGGGCCTGCTGCTGATTGTGTCCAGCGCTGCCTGCTGCGGCATCGTCCTGTTTGTGTTCTACGAGGGCTGCGATCCTGTCCTCGCAGGGCGCATCTCTGCCCCAGACCAGGTGAGTCTCCTCCATGCTCCTGACAGGCTCTGGGCCCTGTCCCCCTTTCCATCTCTGAGGCATGGGTTACAAAAGCTGGTTCTAGAAGGAGCAGCACGAGGTGGATAACAATGGCGAGGCACCGATTCCCTGGCGGGAGGAATCGCCCCAGCCCAGTCAGCTCTGCCCTTGCCGACCGGGACTTGGGTGGAGGGAGGAAACGAGCAGCGAGCTTCTGCGGGCAGCTGAGGACACCTGCAAGTGCTGTCCTCCCCGGGGCCGGGGGCCAGACCCCGGTTCGCATGTGCGGGCGCCTCTCTGGGGAATGAGACACGTCCAGCGGGCTCTGTGCTGGTGCCGGGTGACAGGCGGGGTGCTGCGGTCCGAGTGACCCCGGCCCCCGCAGTACATGCCCCTGCTGGTGCTGGACATCTTCCATGACCTGCCGGGGTTGCCCGGGCTCTTCCTGGCCTGCGCCTACAGCGGTACGCTCAGGTGAGCACCCGGGTGGGGCGGGGCCTCAGGTGCTGGGCGGGGCCTCAGGCTGGGGGCGCGGCGCTGGGCGGAGCCTCGGGCTTTGGGCGGGGCCTCGGGCGCTGGGCGGGCGCCCCGCCCCTCCCCTCCTCCGGCCCGCCTGGGTCCTCAGCCATCCCCACACCCACCTGCAGCACCGCGTCCACCAGCATCAATGCCATGGCGGCCGTCACCGTGGAGGACCTCATCCGCCCCCGTGCGCCCGGCATGGCGCCCCGCAGGCTCGTCCTCATCTCCAAGGGGCTCTGTGAGTTGGGGGTCCCCGGGCGGGGCGGGGCGCCCTTCCACGCTGACCGCACCCCTCCCTGCAGCGCTCCTCTACGGCTTGGCCTGTCTCACCATGGCCGGCCTGTCCTCGCTGCTGGGCGGCGGCGTCCTCCAGGTGAGCCCGGGGCGCCGCGGGCCGCGCAGGGCGCGGGGTGGGCCCGGAGCTGGGGGGCGGGGGCCCCACGGCCAGCGCAGCCCACGGGAGAACGCGCGAACCGAGACCCAGGAAAACGGAGGCACCCGCTCCGCAGGGCTCCTTCACCGTCATGGGCGTCCTCAGCGGCCCGCTGCTGGGCGCCTTCATCCTGGGCATGGGCCTGCCGGCCTGCAACACACCGGTAAGGGGCGGGCGGGGCGGGGCAGTGGGTGGAAGCAGGTCTGAGGGTGGGACATCCTGTGGGCGTGGCTCACAAGACCACATGTGGAAGGGGCTGGGCAGGGGGCGGAAGTTGCAGGGGCGTGGTGTGCGTGAGGCGGGGCTCCAAGAAGAGCAGGTGTACTGAGGGGGTGTGGTCTGGGACATCTGCGGGCCTGGCTCGCAGGGGCGTGGCTAAGAGCGAACACCGGGTGGGACGAGGGGCGGGGCTTCCGCGGGCCACGCCCTCACCCCTCGGCGCGCTGTCAGGGCGTCCTGGCGGGGCTGGGCGCGGGCTTGGCGCTCTCACTGTGGGTGGCCGTGGGCGCCACGCTGTACCCGCCCAGCGCCGAGAGCATGGGCGTCCTGCCGTTCTCCGCCGCCCGCTGCCAGGCTCCTGCAGCCAACGCCTCTGTTCTGGACTGGCTGCTCGCCGTCAACAGCTCGGGCAGAGCCCTCAGGTGAGCAGACGGCGGGGAGTGGTGATGGGTGGCCCGGGGGCGGGGTCAGAATGGGCGTGTCCGGAGGGTGCGGTCTAGAGGGGCGTGGTCGGAGTGGGCGGACCCAGAGGGGCGTGGTCAGAGTGGGCGGGGCCCGAGATGATGGGAACGGGGCGCGGGGCCTGGTGCGGGCGACCCTCCCTCCCACCAGTCCCCCTTCAGCTCCGCAGCGGACCCCGCGCGCCCGGCCTTGGCCGACAGCTTCTACGCCATCTCCTACCTGTACTATGGGGCGCTGGGCACGCTGACCACCGTGCTGTGCGGAGCGGCGGCCAGCTTCCTGACCGGTGAGCCCGGCGCCGCCGCCGCCCAGCCCGGGGAGCCGCCCCCCCCACCGAGTGCCCCCCCGGGCCTGGCCGGATTCACAGAGGGTCCACTGGGGCACGGCCAGCCCCTGGGCTGTGAGATGGAGTCCTGGCTGTTGGTCAGGCCCTGGGGCGCTGTCCGAGGTGCTGAAGCGGACTGAGCACAGACCCTGGCTCTGGGGGCCCGGGCCGTCCTCCCTGGGGAGCTGGGCGGAGGCGCGGCAGGTGCCCAGGCCCTGAGGCCGCGGATCCCCAGGCTGCAGCTGGAGGCAGGCCGGGGTGCCGGCCCCCGACGCCCCCTCCTCTCTCCCACCCGCAGGCCCCACCCCGCGCAGCGCCCTGCGCCCTGGGCTGCTCTGGTGGGATCTCTGCCGGAGGACGGAGGAGGCCCCCAAGGAGGAAGCGGCCGCCCTGGATGGCAGCTTGGCACAGGTCGGTCCCAGGCGTGGGGTCGGGGGCGTCCCCGAATCCGCAGGTCCCCGGTGTGGCCTGACAGCGGCCCCGCCACTTCTCACCACTCAGGGAGCCGCTGGGCCCCTGGGGTGCGGATCAAAAAAGCCGCTTCCTGGCGCTTACATAAGAAACCGACCCAGGGCAGCTGGACGGAGGCGGAGGCCGGAGCCGCGGGTCGCTGAGCGAAGTCCCGGTCTGGGCAGGGCAGTCGGGGGCGGGGAGGTCCGAGAGGAAAGAACAACAATCCCTCCCAGTCCCAGTCTCAGCGGGACGGTGTTAGATAATGAGTCGGACCGGCCAGCAGCCCGCCTCGGGCATGGGCTCTGGGTGGGAGGCCTGGTGGGGGCCGCTGCGGGTGCAAAGGCCCTGGGGCAGGGCCAGGAAAAGGCGCGCCTGCAGTGTTTGTTGTTTCGTGCGGGTCCTGGGGCTGGAGCCGGCCGGCGCCCTCCCCGAGCTTCTGCTCCAGGCTGGCGCCCTACCACCCGAGCCACAGCGCCACTTCGCGCTGGCTCATGGGAGAGTGCGGTCTCGTGGGCCGTCCTGCCCAGTCTGGCCTCAACCGAGTAGCGGGGAGGACAGGCGCGAGCCCCGCCCCGCACGGCCCCGCACGACCTCCCCAGGGTCCTCACTGGGGCTCCCTTCACCCCCACCCCGCAGGGACCGGAAGAAATCCCCCCGGGAGCGAAGAAGCCCCCGGAGGCAGAGCAGCGGCCTCTGTGTCTGGCCCGGGCGGAGCCCGCACTCCGCACGCCCCGCGCACGGCCGGACCCCGAGCCCGAGCCCGAGCCGGACCCGGCCTGCGAGCGCGAGAGCAGCCTCTGAGCTCCGGCCACTCAGGGACCGCCCCCGGCCGAGGATCGGCCAATCCCGGGCCACCGACCGCCGGCCTCAGGCGCCGATTGGCTGGGCGTCGTCATAGGCAAATCAGCGTGGCCAGGCATGGCCCCGCCCGGAAGGGGAGGGGAGAGGCTAGGCCCCGCCTCCCGGAAGTCACCCTAAACAGCGGCCTGGCCCTCACGCCTCTGGTCCCAGCTCCTCGTGAGGCTGGGCCGTGAGGATCGCGGTTCGAACCCGGCCCAAGCGGGAGAGTCCAAGAGACGGTCTGCCCAAAAGCCGAAGTGGCGCCGTGGCCGGGTGGTGCAGCGCCAGCCTTGAGCCGAAGCCTCCGCTGGGCACGCGCACACGCGCACACACAACCTGAGGCCCAGAACGCCTTCAGAGTTTTCTGGAAAGTTCGATCGGTCCTGGCCGCGGCTCTGTCCCGGCCGGCGGGGCGGGGACCGAGGGGGCAGGAGGGTTCCGAGCGGGATCCGCGGCTGTGGGCCCCGCCCTCCTCCTGCCCGCCCCCCGCCGCCCCCCTCCCACGGCTGCGTGCCCATCGCGGTATTCAGGTCCTTTTCACTGCTGAGTAACACTCCCGCGGCGGCCTGCTCCTTCCCGGGACCTCTGGGTGATTTCCAGCTCTAGCTGATTACAAATAAAACCGCTGAGAAGTCACATGCCGGTCTGTGGGGTCAGGGGGGTCAATGAACTGCCGGCGGGAGTGTTGGGGGAAAGAAACAATGTCTGGGGTAGCCAGCAGAACATTCGCTCCCTGAAGTTTGCAGTTCAGGTTCCCGGCAGGGGTGAGGCGCTGCGAGGCATGCCCTTCCTGATACAATGTGGCAACCACGAGCCACCAATCATCTAGAGATGGATACAGTGTACAGGGACCGGGCAGGGGCTGTGCAAATGTCCAGGGGTTGTTCAGATGTGCAGGGCCTATGCAAAATGGGTGGGGCCTGTGCAAACACAGGGGTCTATGCAAAATAGGTGGGGCCTATGCAAATGTATCTGCCTATGCAAATGAGCAGGGTCCCAGCAAATACACAGGGCCTATGGGAAAATAGGTGGAGCCTATGCAAATACCAGCCCTATGCAAGCAGGCGTGTCTATGCAAATGCGCAGGCCCTATGCAAATGAGGGTCCTTGCGGCTGGGTGAGGCGCTCTCCGCAGGCACCGCAGCCCCACTGCGGGCTGATGCCCAGGCTGGCGGGCTGGCGTCCCACCCGATCCTCCGGCCCGGGCCTCCATGGCTTCCCCCTGCCCTGCCTGACCCCGGGCCCGAGCGCCACGGCTTCCTGTCCCGGGGGGCGCG